CGCCGCCGGCTCTGGGCGCAGAGCCGATCCACACCCCCTCCCTTACTCCGCGCGGCGCCCCGCAGTGCTCATGCTGGTCGAGAACTCGCTGAAGAACGACCTGCAGTCGTCCAACCAGTACATCGCCGGCCTCGCCTGCTGCGCCATCGGCAACATCTCCTCGGCCGAGATTTGCCGCGACCTGTCGCCCGAGGTGGAGAAGCTCATGGTGGGCTCCAATCCGTTTGTGTCGAAAAAGGCGTCGCTCTGCTGCATCCGGATCCTGCGCAAGTGCCCCGAGCTGTGCGACACCTTCCTCGAGCGCATCGGCACGCTGCTCGGTTCGCGCAACCACGCCGTGCTCCTCACCTGCCTCAAGCTGATGCGCGAGATGTGCATCACCGAGCCGGCGATGATCGAGCAGCTGCGCCGCCACACGCCGACGCTGATCGCTGCGCTCAAGAACCTGGTGCTCTCGGGGTACGCGCCCGAGCACGACGTGCACGGTATCGTCGACCCCTTCCTCCAGGTCGAGATCCTCACGATGCTGCGCGTCCTCGGCCGTGGCCACTCGGAGACGTCGGACCAGATGAACGACATCCTCGCGCAGGTCGCCACAAACACAGAGTCAGCGAAGAACGCGGGCAACGCGATCCTGTACGAGTGCGTCCTCACCATCATGGCGATCGAGGTCGAGTCGGGCCTCCGCGTCCTCGCCGTCAACATCCTCGGCCGCTTCCTCATCAACCGCGACAACAACATCCGGTACGTCGCGCTCAACACGCTGCACAAGGTCATCGCGCAGGACACGCAGGCGGTGCAGCGGCACCGCAACACGATCGTGGACTGCCTCAAGGACAACGACTCGTCCATCCGGCAGCGCGCGCTCGAGCTCGTCTACGCGCTCGTCAACGAGGCCAACGTCAAGGCGCGCGCGAGCCGCGCCCGCGCCGCCGCCGCGCGCCCGCGACGTGTCCCGCCCCTCGTCCGGCAGGTGCTCGTCAAGGAGCTGCTCTCGTACCTGCTCGCGTGCGACGTCGAGTTCAAGGACGAGCTCACGCAGCGCATCTGCACCGTGGTGGAGAAGTTCTCGACCGACAAGGAGTGGCACGTCGACACCATCATCCAGACCCTCTCCGCCTCAACCTCCTTCGAGTCCGAGGAGACCGTCTGCTCGATGATCGCCCTCATCACCTCGACGCCGGAGCTGCAGGCGTACGCGACGCACAAGCTCTACGCCAAGCTCGCCGACCAGACCAACCAGCCAGTGCTGCTGCAGCTCGCCGTCTGGTGCGTCGGCGAGTACGGCGAGATGCTGATCGGCGGTGTGCCCGCCGGCGTCGAGGCCGAGGCGCCCGACCCGCAGACCGTCGTCGAGCTGCTCACTTCGGTGATGCGATCGCCCGTGGCGGACGTGACGACCAAGGAGTACACCATCAACGCCTTCGTCAAGCTGACCACCCGCTTCGCGAATGCGCCCGACTCGCTCGCCTTGATACACAAGCAGCTCGCCGCCTACTCGTGCTCCATGTCGCTGGAGCTGCAGCAGCGCTCCGTCGAGTACTCGTCGCTGCTCAAGCTGGACGCCATCCGCGCCGGCGTGCTCGAGCGGATGCCCGCTTTCGCGAAGAAGGACCGGCAGGCGGCGGCGGCGGCGGCGGCGGCGCTAGCGATGGACGGCGATGGCCCGAGCAGAGGCAGCGCGTCGGAGCTCATGGCGGCGCCGGCCGTCATGGCTGCAGCCGCGCCCGCGCCGCCGTCCGAGATGGACCTGCTCGGCGACATCTTGGGCGGGTCGCCGGCGCCGGCGCCCGCGATGCCGCCGATGGGCGGTGCGCCCGCCGCGCCGCCGCCGGCCGCGGGCGGGATGGATTTGCTGGACCTGCTGGGCGGGGGCGGCCCGCCCGCGGCGGCGGCGGCGCCGCCGGTCGACGCGATGGCGATGCTGGGCATGGGCGGCGCCGCGCCGGCGCCGCCGCCCGCCGCGCCCGGCTCCTTCCCGCCCTTCCAGGCGTGGAACAAGAACGGGCTCCAGATCGAGTTTGCGTGCACCAAGGACGCGTCGAACCCGTCCGTGACGGCCATCGAGGCGTCCTTCACCTCGGCGCAGCCGACGCCCCTCACGGGCTTCAACTTCCAGGTGGCGGTGCCAAAGTACATGAAGCTGCAGATGAGCCCCGCTTCCTCGTCGACCGTGCCGCCGAGCAACTCCGGGAAGGTGACCCAGACCTTCAAGGTTGCAAACTCGATGCACGGCCAGAAGCCCGTGTTGCTGAGGATCAAGATCGACTACTCGGCGGGCGGGCAGGCCGTCTCGGAGCAGGGGCAGGTAGACAACTTCCCGCCCGGCATCTAGAGGGGCGCCGCCCCGCTCTGGCCGCCGCCCGCCCCTCCCTCGCCGCCGAGGGGGGCGGGCTGGCGGCCCGAGCCGGGCGGGTGTGTCCACCTGCCTCTGCTCTGTGATTTGGTGCGCGAGGCGCGCGGCGAGTGCGGAGAGCGGCCGCGGGCGAGCGCGGGAGCGCAGATGGGGTCGTGGGAGAGAGAGAGTCAGAGCAAACAGAGGGAGGCGCGCCGCGGAGGCAGAGCGGTGGCAGAGCCATGCGCCGGTACTATATAACGTTTTGGGTTTTCAAGGCCGACGCGAGGCCTGACGGTGACGCCGCCTGTGCGCACACCAGCTTCGCAAAACGGCCGTAATCGTTCCGGTTCGGCTCGCACACAACACAGTAGCTCTCACACGGGACACCCGCCTCACACGTCACAGCACACATGGACATGGACATGGACATGGACATCGTGGACATGGACATGGACATGGACATGCCTCTTTTTTTGCAAGTTTTTGCACACGTGTCTCGCGTCGTCTCACGTCTGCAAGTGCAACTTGACGCCAGCCCGGCGGCGGCCCGCGCAAGAGCGCAAGAGCACCGCCGCACCGCGGGGCCACACGCTCGACTGCCGCGAGAGAGAACAAGAAAACACAATTGCCCTTGTGTGTATAAAAAAGTCGTAAACTGTGTCTCTCTCTCCCGTCTGAGAGAGAGATTTTTAGCAATACCAAACAACTGTCTCTATGGCCGTCTCCGCAGCGCGCAGGCCGCTAGTGCTAGTCCCCCATCGGGAGGACGACCCCGGCTAGTCGCCGACCACACCCACAACGAACCCTGCACAAAGATCGCAAGGGCGGGGACCTGTTCCTTTTTACCCATCTCACAGTAGAGAGGTGTCCGTTTATTTATTTATTTATTTATCTCTCTCCGCACCCCGCACCCCGGCCGCCGCGCTCTCGGAAACCTCACACATATTCTCAGAACCTACCGTACTCGTGCCTAGCCTCCCTGGACGGCTCCGCACCACCCTCGCGAGTACCCTCGCCCTCTCCGCCGCCCGACTCCGCCGCCGCCGCCGCCCTCGCCTCGCGCAGCCGCCGCAGCGCCTCGGCCGCCGCCACCGCCTCGGGCGCCTCGAGCGGCGGGAGGTCCACCACCTTGGAAGCCCTCCCGCGCGGCAACGGCGGACGCTGCGGCTGTGCCTCGCCGGCGGCGTGCTCGTCCTCCTGCTCCCCTCGCACGAGCCGCCGCCACGCCTTGTCCTCCCTGACACCGCGCAACACCTCGACAACGGCGACCGTCTTCGTCTTGCGCACGCGCGCCTCGTCGATGCGGCATGTCGGCGTGTCGCAACGGTAGCGATCCTCGGCGAAGAGCTCGTCGAAGCCCTCGGGGCGCGGCAGCCGCGTCAGGATCCCGTCGCACCGCGGGCAGCAAAACACCTCGGGCAGCCCGCGCGCTGCCCTTGCGGCGAGCAGCGCCCGCCACTCCGCCACCTTATGCCGCCAGAACTGGACAAAGTCGTTGCCCGGCCGGCCGTACCAGGGCAAGACGTGCCCGTCGGGCAGCAGCACGCCGTGGAGAAATGCCCTGCCCTTGACGCCACGCACCGCCTCAAGCCGCAGCGGTGCGGTGGGCTTGTTGACGCGGCGGTGCACGCGGTAGCGGCCCTCTGGTGAGAGGCACAGGTGCTCGTGCCGCCACAGCGAGGCGGAGAGCCGCACCGCTGTGCGCAGCACAGACGGCGGCGCGCCGTGCCGGAGCGACGGCCGGGCGAGCAGCCCCAGCATCCCGGCCACTTGTAGTGAGCGTCGCTGTTCTGGTTGCGGGGCGGGGAGGGGGAGGGGGCGACGGCCGCACGGAATCGCCGCCGGCGGGGGCGAGGGCGCGGGCGAAGGAGGAGGAGCCAGAGCCCGGGGAGGATTGGGAGGGGGAGGAGCGGCCGGAGGAGTACGCCGGCCTCTTTGACGACCCGTAAGGGGCCGTCGCCTGCTGTGCCATTTGTAGTGCCAGTCCGAGCCAGTCTGCTGTGAGAGGGGCTTGTATAGTAAAATTCTTTCCCTCTTCACAGAGCGCCGAGCACAAAGCGCCAACCTCACAGTCCGCGAGCTCCAGCACGGCGGCGTGCGCTTCGTCGGGAAGTGTGGCAGTCCAGCTTTGGAGCATGCCGCTGTTGCGAGTGGTGCTGGGCGAAGCCTCGGGCGCCGCAGGAGGCTGCAGCGAGGACAGAAAGAAAAGGACCCGCAGGCAAGAAATGTTCTTTGTCGGGCGAGGACAGAAAGAAAAGGACACATCCGCAGCGGAAGAACTGGAATCTGGATAAACAAATTCACCTAAGAGAACAAATAGAGAAACCAGGGCATCGCCGAAGTTCGGCGATTGCAAACTTTCTGATAGGACCTCGACGCCTGGTTTGAAGCGGGGCGGCAGCAATCCAGCCCTGCGGCGCAGGAAATGGGGCTGCGAGTCAGCCCCGACGTCCCCATGTGCGACACCAAGACTGGGGGGAGCACCAGCGGCGACGCACACACGTACGCCACACCGTTACCTGCGGGTGCGCTGTGCAGTGGCGAGAGGGGTGGGACCGATGCAATGGTGGTGGAAAGCATCGACAATGATGAGGCTTCATACGCTTCGCGCGGCCGACACGACCAGCCGAGCACCGCGTGCACCCTCGCCACCCGCCTGGCGAACGCTGCGCGAGCCAATGCCCCTGCCGCAGTCACGAGGGCGGAGCGGGCGCGGCCAGCAGGCGGAGGCAGCAGGCGCTCGCTCGCCTGCAACTTCGAGGAGGCGAACGCAGGTGGCGGGAGAGCGACGATGGCTCGCGCTTCAAGCACCCACAGCATGTCGCTGTCCGAGCGGAGCGGAGCGGACGGGGCAAATGCCCAGGCGGCACAGCCGCCCCAGAAGCGAGCGCCGAGGCCCCTCGTGCGGGACGCCACTCCGATCCCTCGGCGCGCGAGCTACTGGGAGAAGGCGCGTGGCAGGCTGAGCGGCGGCGGCAGCCGGGCGAGCACGCGCGACGGCGGCCGCGGGGGCTTACCAGAGGAGGAGAGCGAGCGGGTCGAGGAGGGGCGAGGGCGCGAGCCGGCGGAGAAGCGCAAGAGCCTGCAGCAGCTCTTCAAGAGCGGCCTCGCCTTCAGCGGGGGGCAGCGGGGGAGTACGCGTCGCGACAGCGAGCCGAGCCCGTCTCGTCGGGGCAGCGACCGCCGGAGCAGCTCGGACAGCCGAGCCCAGGCGGAGCGCCGCTCGTCGGAGGACAAGAAGGGCGACGAGATGCTCGCCGACTTTCTTGCGCGGATGGCGCTGCAGAAGCGCGGATGGCGCAACTTTGTCGTGCACCCAAACCACTGGAGCATCAAGTACTGGAACCTCCTGCAGCTCGCGTGTGTCATCTGGCTCTTCTTTGAGGTGACTCTCACGACCTCCTTCTTCGACTCACTGCCCGCGCTCGTCGACGCGACTTGCGGAGATCCGGCCACCATCTCGGTCGACGGCGGCACCCTCGACGCCGGGCTCGGGCCGGCGGACCTAATCAACGCCTGTTTTGACGCGCTACTGCTCCTTCATATTGCGCTTAGCCTCCACCTCGGCTATGTCGACTCCCAGAACAACATGGTGATGGTGCAGCGCGACATCAAGCGGCATT